GTCTCTCAATTTTTAAATTTGTATCAAGATTATCCCTCAATTTGAATAAATATCAAAATTATCCCTAACTTTAATTTTTAATACTAAAAATGTCACTTTATTAACATAAATGTCATGTAATTCATTATTTTAACATAAAATCAATTCTTTTCTAAAATACTAATGATGTGTAAAATTAAACAATTATATTTTACCATTATGACTTATTTTTATTTACATATCAACTTAATATATAATCAAAATTAAAAAACCAAATTGGTATTTGTAATCAAAGTTCAAGCACTAAGATGGTATTTATTTTCAAAGTTGAAGAGCTAAATTAGTATTATCTTCAAAGTTGGAAGATTATTTTGATATTAAAAATTAAAGTTTAGGAATAATTTTAGTATTTTATGAAGTTGTATTTTATGAAGTTGAAGAATAATTTTGGTATAAATTTGAAAGTTGAGAGATCAAATTGATATGTTAACTTTTTTTTTTTGGTTGCCATCCGCCCTCCATTGCTACTAATTTTTTAGTTTTGTTCTAATTTGAAAGAGAACAGTATAACTGAACAGCCATTGGACATGTTCTAATCCAAGCACACGGTACATGAACCCCAGACACTTACATCTCAGAACAAATAAAATTTGAAGCAAACCCACGAATACTTAAAATCGGTATCAAAAAATAAGCACTACCTACAATCACCAACTATAACCAGATCGAATACCCAATGCTCCTCCCCCATTACAAAATCAAAGAATAATAAAAGGAAAATTATCAAAGATTGAACCCAAGACTTATTTTCTTTACTGGTTTTCTCTGTTAAAGTGTTTTAAAGTCACTTTTTACACATATTAACTTAATACATTCAATGAGATTAATTTCTTTGTATATTAACCCCCATGACTTAAATCCTAAATTTAAGATATCTCTATCTACCACTAGATCTCATGACTAATGGTATATTACATACATTCTTGTATACAAATGATTATGATTGTTGGAAATATTTTCTAAATAGTGGTATAACCATGTTGGAAAGGAAGAAGGAATAAGAATTAATCATTTGGTGGAAATATTTTCAAAAAAGTTGTATAACCGTGTTGGAAAAGAAGAAGGAATAAGATCAACAACATATTAGTTTGAGTGAAAAGAGTTTAGGTTTTTTTAAATAAATTTTTGAATTCGAATCTTGTAAATAGATAAACAAATATTAGGAAAACTTCCACTCTTATGAGATTTAACTTGATTTGATTTCAAATTAATTAGGTTTAATATGATTTTCGGATAACAAGGGTTTAGTGTAAAAAAAAAAAAAAAGAGAGAGAGAGGGAGAAATCTAGGATTTGGAAAAAATATCGTACCTCAATATCATAGTATCTATACCACTGCTTCATAAGAAATAATGAGAGAAAACAAAGCTCTCTAACATAAAAGTATCGATATTGAATTTCACAGTATGGAGACTATCTAATGAAATCTGAAAATTTAAGAATAGAGTAGAAAATAAAGATAGAGTCCAGATTTCTTATTTTTTTTATTCTTATAGAGATTTATCCTCTCGAATAAACTCATCAATTGCATAAAATTAAAATTTAAAGTCTATGATTAACGAACATTTTGTTGTGTCTGTATGAACACACTTCTTTTCCTATAAGTAGTCCTTTCTTTCTCCATAATAAATCCTCTTAGAAGAAATTCAGAATAAAACACAACTATATATTAGTCTCTTACACGAATATTTAGCTGCAGGAATATTTGTATGCCTGCGATCGTTTTTCTACTTTCCTTTGGGACGTTTAGAGATCTGGCTTCACTTATGCAACTGGGCTTCATAATATCCTGAGGCTGTTCGATTTTCCCCCTTTGCATCCCAAGAATGTGGGGCAAATTAAACCTAAAGGATAGTGGGAAACTAGCGCACTCTTTGAAGCCTTTTGTCCTACTTTTCAGCCCTTGTTCCAACAATGACTTATGAGCATTCTAATTGCATGTTGACATACTTTGTGTGTTATCCCTTTCGGTTTATACTTTATACTGGGATTTTCTGCCCTGTGACATGATCAGGTGGGTGACCCTGTCACTTTGGACTTGAAGATAAAGATTTGGGGTACAGCTAGCTTCTGCCTTCTAGAGTCCAACCTCCTTCCATTTTCTTTTTCTTAGAAAACTATAGACAGAAATGATGCAATCTTTCTTATCCCTTTTAAGTTGGTGGCTTACCTCAAAACAATAAGATGATGTTCTTTAAAGATTCAAAGAGAAGAGCTTGTTGTGAATTGTTTTGATGCCCATGTGTCTGGAATAGAGCTGGTGTGGCAGTGATGTGGCAACTCCCTTTCCCACAAAACACTACAAAAAGTGATGAGGTCATGTAAGGGCAGGTATGTAGGCACTTGATTTTCTTTTTGATACAATTTCCTTTACATTAAGTAAATGCTTCTGTTTCTTAGACTAAGTGCTGACATATGAGGACATTAGGAGAAATTACAAGTGATGAGTCATCTTCCACTCTTTTTGCATGGCCTAATGCTTACTCGCACACATCAGGATGATTGTATTCCAGATTGGCATATCTGCACTTGTTCACTTCTGTTGGGTTTCTTTTCTTTTGACCCAATTAAGCCATCTTCCATTGCCCTTTTTTGGAAAAGGTTTCGTTTTACCATGACTAGAAGATCTTTCAGATTAGGAAGTTCTGGAATTCCCTGCCCTTAGCACAGAAATTTCTAGACAAACAAAACCAAAGTGCCAAGACAAAGGGGAAGAGGAAAACCCTCAAGACTGGAGTTTTCCTGAATACCTTTGGAACTAATTCCCATGGTAAAGATCCAATGAAAGGAGTGTGTCAATTGATATAACATATTTTTTCCTCTTGACCTACTTTCTTCCTTCGTATATCGTTATCCATTTAGGAAATGGAGCTTTAGTTAAAAGCAAAAATGTGGCAAATCCCATTCAGAAGTTATAGGCATGATATGGTGTGTTGGGGCAGTTTGATGCAATCCCACATGGATGACATAATGACTTTCTTCAAAGTCATTTTCAACTTGGCATGCAAGTTGGGTTGATGCAACTAATGGTTTCGAACATTTCCCTTTCTCCTTATAGAAGTTGAAAAAGAAGGCAAGCATCAGAAAGATACATTGACAGATCAAAAAGCTTCTATGCCACATCCTCATGGATTCATCTACCATCAGTATGGAGAAAAAGGGGAAACCAACTCACATTCTCATTATAGGTAATACATATTTTCTCTATCTACTTACGCTTAGTTTATATCTCTGGGCCCATTTGAAGAAAAGGGCAAAGACGGCCAAAGTTGAAAGATATGATTGTTTAAATACCATGAATTAAATGGACCCTTAACATAAAAAATATATATATTTGTCAATGATTTGAAATCTTTCAGAATAAAGAGCTTATAATTTTTTTTTTCTCAAATAACTAACACATTTTTTTCTGAATTTTGGACAGGGGGACTTCATGAAGAAGACATTGGACTTTTCTTCCCATAAGCCATTTCTAAAAGAAACCAAACAAACCATATTCTCCTTATCTTCTCTTTAGCAAAAGAAAAGAAAAAAAGAATGTATCTTTCCCATGCTATGCATTTACCTTTATTCTCTGCATCAGCTATGGATGACTCGTGACAAAAAAGGCAGATTCAGCAATCCCCCATTTCTATTGCTATAAATGCCATTTGCAGACTCCAGACTTTCATCACTCACAGCAACTATCTCTTTCCTTTGATCACTGCTAACAGGCAATCAGAAAGAACCACTTGGGCATAGAATGAGTATGGGAGACCAAAAGCAAATGCAGAAACAAGTAAGTGGGAGTCCTATCAGATCAACTAGATTGTGCTTACCAGATCCTGCTACCCAGTACCAACTTCAATCTTCTTGGGGGAATTCTGCTACATTCAAACGAAGTAAGAAAACCCATATTGCTGTATCACGAAAAGCTCAAATTAACTTATTATAACATAGATTATGTTTTACTAAAAGGAAAGATTTGATATTTGCAGGTAAGGTGCATTTGGTGCTCAAAAGGATGAACAAGTTAGGAAAGAAAGCTGATAGTTTTGCAAATGGGGTCCGAGAACATGGTATAGAATTACTTTCCTCTTATTTCCTAAGAAAGACAGAAACCAAACTAGTCCTGACATATTCTATGTATTGAAATCAACCTGGGGGTTGGAACTAAATTTATTTTTGGAATTGCAGTGAGACTGGGGCCAAAGATCACTGAAACTGTGAAAGGGAAGTTGAGTTTAGGGGCTAGAATTCTTCAAGTTGGTGGGGTGAAGAAAGTTTTCAAGCAATTGTTTAGTGCTAGAGAAGGGGAGAGATTGTTGAAGGCTTGCCAATGCTATTTGTCAACAACGGCAGGTCCCATAGCAGGCCTACTTTTCATCTCCACAGAGAAAGTTGCCTTCTGCAGTGAGAGATCAATTAAGATGCCTTCGCCAAATGGAGAATTGCTTAGAGCTCGTTATAAGGTAATTACATTCAGTCCTTATCTCAAAATCTTCAGCATTTAATTCCATTTCAACTTATTTTCTATCATTATTTTATAGGTTATCATTCCAATTGTGAAAATAAAGAGAGTAAACCAGAGTGAAAACATCGAGAAATCATCACAGAAGTACATGGAAATAGTTACAGTTGATGATTTTGATTTCTGGTTTATGGGATTTCTGAACTATCAGAAGGCTTTCAATTGTATTCAGCAAGCAATCTCCTACAGATTCGATGATGGACAAGCCACTTGCTAGGTGACTTAAATTAGAAGATGTTTGTAATTCTCCTCTTGTTTCAGAATATAGGCATGAAGTGACGAGGAAATCCAACACAAGTAGAAATGTAAAAACTTCTTGTTGATGGAAATATATGCTTCTCGGCTTTGATATCTTAAACCCTTGTTCCCTATCTACAGATATAGATTTGGATGCTCCTAAAATATTCAACTTTTCATCCTTAATTACTTCAATCAAAAGTTAAATAGCTAGTTTCTGGTTTGAAGGGGGTTCAAGTCGTAGGATTGAAAGCTAACAGAAGTTGTGATGGAAGGACAAAAATGGTCCAAAGTTACTGAATCTAAGGATTAAAATGGCCAGAACAATAGTTAAGAGATGAAAATGACCAACAGAAAACGATTTAGGGCCTTTATGTCATTAACCAAACTTGAATTTCTTAGATTGTCTTTGTTGTGTTTTGTTATCTATAGATAAATTACAAACTCCCTCATGTACGTTGAGAGTTGAAACTTACAACTGGAACAAAAAAACATAAACGGTCAAAATACTTTCTCCCTTTGAAAGGGAAAAGAATCTTGACCGCCAAGGATATGGATATGTTGTGCATGGTTACAATGTTACCATAACAAAACTTAAGAACCTTGGTGCTGATGTTGAGAAATGTAAAAGTGGAGAAGAAGCTTTAAACCTGGAGACGTACTTACACACTAAGATTACCTACTTTACATTCTGCTCATTTGCTTTCAACAATCATGTAGAATGTTTCAACAACAACCATACTAAAAATCACGGAGTGCAACATTTTTCTTTTTCTGTAAGAAAAACAAGGAAGACTAACCATTGCTTAAAGCGATGCTTCAAATTTTAAAAGGCAGATTCTGCTTGCTTTATCCAGCAGTTTCTCATGGTCAAATTACTCAATCCTAGCTGTAACCTGACAAACTAAGCTACTAAAACAATGATTGGAATTTCATTTGACCCCAGAGTAATAGGATTCAGAATCAAAAGATGCTCTATTTCCTTAATTTCCAAGGAAAAACATGGGAGACGACACTGAATCTGAATATTTAAAAAATTTATTCCACCCAGATTAATGCCTATCACAAGATTTGTCTTCCTACAAACTAATCAGTGGCATACAAATAACTATGCCTATTGTTTGTTTCATTTAACCCATTTCCTTTCAATCTGATCAAGCTTGCTCCATTAAGCATGTTCCCATAATTAACTCCCATCCAACTTCCTGCCCATATTTGATTTCCATATTCTGATATTCATACAATCATATTATGAATCAGGAGATTGCTTTATATGCAAATCACAGTGTAAAGAAAGTTAAGAAAATCACTTGTCAGATATTAGCTAGTAGATCATGCCAAGATAGAAACAAATGAAGATCAATAAACAGAGTAAAGCATTATTCCGCAAAGAAATGGAAACAGTAATTTACATGCAAGATATAGATACAGATATGAGTGCTAACTTAAGAAAACAAACCAAAGTAATCCCATCCATGGACATGCACAAGAACAGGAATGGACTTAGCATAAAGCCCTGACCTGTCATGTTAAACCTATGAGATTTTGCTGGCAGCTGTTTATAAGTTTTGAGGGAGATAATCTTCCTCTGTTATTCAATAGTTTATATATGATGTCTCAAAGTAGCACATCTGGCAAGGTCAAACTTGTTGTGAAGTACACTTTACAACTTTCAGGGAACCTTAACCCAGCCTCATCGCAACCTTCCTTACTGATATGAGGGCAGGAGCTGACATCAAGATATTCCAGAGAATTGCATTTGTTCAAAAGGATGCCTATCCCCAAAACAGTGATCTTTGGACAGTTACTGACTTTTAAAACCTTCAAGTGTAATTCAATTTCACCATTCTCTAAATTTTGAAAAGCAGCGTCAGTTACCTCCGCACAGCACTCAATATCTACTGCCTCTAGGTTTTCACAATGTGTCAAGATGCAGCTCAATGAAGAATCAGAAATGTTTAAGCACCAATTCATCCGTAAATTCTTCAGACTATTTTTACAAGACATGGCTAATGACTTCATGGACTCATCTGAGATATCCTGACAACCACTAAACATAAGAGTTTCAAGATTTTCACAAAATTTGGCTAAGGATAATATGGCCTCATCTCCAACTTTATAACAATCCAACATCTTTAGTGTTTTTAGAGAAGATGAACATGCCTTGGCAAGGCTGGAAATTCCAGTGTCACCGACATTACTGCACTTATTGATGTCTAAAAACCTGATATGATGGCAACCGTTTACAAGATCTGCCAGTCCAGAATCAGTTATCTTCGTACATCGACACAACCCTAGGTCTTCTAAATTGGGACAATGTCTAGAAATAGCCTTCAATGCTTCATCAGTGACAAATCTGCAACCAGTAAGATGCAGCCCTCTAAGGTTGGGGCAGCCCTCTACAACAGCTGAAAATCCCTTGTCTGTAAGCTTGTTGCAATTTGACACATCTAAGGACTGCAAAGAAGAAAGACCACTGCCAATGGATGCCAATCCTTTATCTGTAATCCCTGTAGTATCCACAAAAGAAATGATCTATGATCAATGAATTACATAAAATAAAAAATTACAAAAATAAATAAATAAATAAATAAAACATAAGAAACAACAGCTACATCATGTATACATCCAAATTCTCCCAACAAAAAAATGCTCATACATAAGCAAAGGCAAGAAAAAAGCATACTTTGCCCAGAAATCTTGCAACATTAAATATTGGAGAACTGATTATTTTATTTGGAATTTTTCTCTGTGCAATCAAAATTGAAAAACAACATTTTAACTTCAAATTTCTGCAAATTGAGGACTCTCAAACACTAAAACAGATATCAGAATTTCACCACGCCCCAGGCCAACATAATAATTAAGAGAAAAAATCCAAAGTAACATTTTCATGAAAATTCTATATATATATATATATATATATAAAAACAACCAAGAAGATGTAATCAAGGAAGAGACTTTACTTTAACATTGGTTTCAATTGAAAAACCAAAACATTATCAACCAATTAAGAGAAAATTCTCCCAGAAAAATATCATGACAACAATCAAATTAAGAGAAAATTCTCCCAGAAAAATATCATGACAACAATCAAATTAAGAGAAAATTCTCCCAGAAAAATATCATGACAACAATCAAACACCCATAAGAAAAAAAGCCTCTACCTCTACAATTCTGCACATTAAGCACCCTCAAACACTTGAACCCATCAGCAATGACCGCTAAGTCGGAGTCAGTTAGGCCAGGATAAAATGACCTGGAAACAGACTGAGAGAGATCCAATTCAAGCACACGGGTGAACCTCGAGGCCATCTTGCGTAGCATGTGTGGCCCCGCTCGAGCAGAGAGCTTCTTCCTCTCCGTGCTTTGCAGATGCAGCCATCTCTTGCACACCAAACCGAACACCTCCTTGTCCCGATCACTTTCCAGCCTCGACAATATGAATCTCAACTCATCGTCGGTCAACGTCTCGTTTATGCAAATCGGAGATGCAGCCATTGAATTTGAGGGATGGATTCAAGAAGTGTGATGCTTAATTTGGGATTCACAAATTGGGGTTGATCAGGAACAACCCTATTATTGCTACCGCCTTCGGTGAAGTGCCCTTTTCTTATGAAAACCTCAGTGAAGTACCATATAGATTTTTTTTACTATTATCATTTTAGATTTACCCAATGGGCTGTTCCACTTTCACTTCACTTAGTATAAGGCCATGTTTGGTTGGGAAATTAATTTTATCCAAAAAAATTTATTAGGAAAGTAATTAAAAATGTATTGTATTAAAATCCGTAAATATTATATAAAAAGTTGATAAATTTTGTAGGTAAATTTTATTAAG